TTGTCCTGGATGGTGTTGAGCTGCTTGAATTTTTCTGGAGTTGCACTCACCCAGACGAGTGAAGAGTATTCCATTGCAATTCTGACTTGTGCCCTGTACATACTGGTCGGGCTTTGGGGATTCAAGAAGTGAGTTACTTACTGCAGTATTCCTAGTGTCTGGCCTGCTCTTGTAGCCATAGTGTTTATATGGCTAGTCCGGTTCCGTTTCTGGTCAACGGTAATCGTCGTGATGTTGATGGTGGACTGTTCAGTTATGGTAAATAGATTCAATGTCAAGGGGTGATTGTCTCTTATTAATCAAAAGGTGGTCATTACTCAGCATTTGTTTGGCACAATTGTTTCTTGCCTTTTCAGACCAAGCCTGGATATTGTCTAAATGCAACAAGGTAGATTCATAGAGCTGTACAGCTTGGAAACAGAACCTTCGATCCAAATCATCCATGCCAACCAGATATGCTAAATTAATCTATCCCTCTCAACCCTTCCTATTCATGTACCCATCCAGATACCTTTTAAATGTTGTAATTGTACCACCCTCCTCCATTTCCTCAAGCAGCTCGTTCCATGCAAGCACCACCCTCCTCGTGAAAACATTGCCCCTTGGTTCCCTTTTAAATCTTTCCATGCTCCCCTTAAATCTATACCCTCTAGTTTTGGAGTCCCTACCCTATCCATGCCCTTCATGATTTCATAAACCTCTACAAGATCACCCCTCAGCTTCCGACACTCCAGGAAACATGGCCCCAGCCTTCTTAGCCTTAGAGGCTCAAGACCTCGAACCCTGGCAACATCCTTAAATCTTTTCTGAGCCCTTTCAAGTTTCACAACATCCTTCCTATAGCAGGGAGACCAGAATTGAATGCAGTGTTTCAAAACTGGCCTAACCAATGTCCTGTACAGCTGCAACATAACCTCCCAACTCCTATGCTCAATGCACTGACCAATAAAGGCAAGTGTACGAAACACCTTCATTATCCTATCTACCTGCGACTCCACTTTCAAGGAACTATGAACCTGCACTCCAAGGTCTCTTTGTTCAGCAACACTCCCCAGGACCTTACCATTAAGTATATAAGTCCTTCCCTGATTTGCCTTTACAAAATACAGCACCTCACATTTATCTAAATTAAATTCCGGCTGCCACTCCTTGGCCCCTCTGATCAATGGCCCATTGTACTCTGAGGTAACCTTCTTGGCTGTCTGCCACACAACCAATTTTGGTGTCATCTGCAAACTTACTAACGTCTGGACATGGTGAGATAGTAAGAACTGCTGATGCTGGAGTCAGAGATGAGTGTGGAGCTGAAGGAACACAGCAGGCCAGGCAGCATTAGAGGTGCAGGAAAGCCGACATTTTGGGTCGGGACCCTTCAGAAAAACCTTTCAGAAGAAGAGTCCTGACCCAAAACATCAGCTTTCCTGCTGCCTGGCCTGCTCTGTCCTCCGGCTCCACACTGTTAATGTCTGGACGTGGATTGCTTCAGTATCTGAGGAGCCGCAAACGTGGTTGTTGAACGTTGTGCAATTGTTGAATATCCCCACTTCTGACCTTTTTGATGTTGGGGAAAAGGCCGTTGAAGCAACTGAAGATGGTTGGGTGGTGGTATCTTATGCTACCTATTGCTACCACTGTGATGATGATGAAATCAGTGAGTGTTGAAGGCAGTTTATACAGTGCCAATCAAGCAGGCTGTATTGTGCTGGATGGTGTGAGCTTTGAATGTTGTTATAGCTTCACTTATTCAAGAAATTGGAGACCATTTCATCAAACATATTTCTTCTGCCTTGGAGATAGTGCATAGGTATTGGGGAGACAGGAGGTGAGTTAACTGCCTCCCAACTCGTGGCTCAAGAGCAGATCAGAAGCTACCATATGTATAAGGCTCACTTTCCATTTGTAAACCCTTTAGTTCTGAAGAATTGTCATATCAGACTCAACATTAACTTTTTCAGTCTTCATAGGTACTACCAGACCTGCTGAGATTCTCCAGCATTTTTGTATATTTTCCAGATTTCCAGCATCCATAGTATTAACTTGTGTTTATATGACTCATCTCGATCAGTTTTTGGTCAGCGGTAACCCCAGGATATTGGTAATGGAGGATTCAGCGAGGCTAGTGTCATTGAACAGCAAGGGACAATGGTTAAATTCTCTGCTGGAGATGATCGTTGTCTGGCACAAATGTGACTTTTCAGTTAACAGCCTAAGTGCGGCTATCGTCCACATCTTGCTGCATCTGAATATGGACGATCTGAATCCGAGGAGCCGTGAATGGTGCTGAAGGTGGTGGAACCTTGTGATGGAGGGAGAGTCAATGACGAAACAGTTGAAGATGACTGGACCCAGGACACTAACCTGAGGAACTCTTGTAGTGATATCTTTGGATGATTGACCTCCCAACAACCATAACCATCTTTCTTTCATGCTAGATATGACTCCAACCAGTGGAGACCTTTCTCCCCTGTTTCTGTTGACTGCAATTTTGCTTGATTTTCTTTGTGCTGTATTCCTTTGAATGCTCAAGGACAGTCCCTGTCACCTCACCTCTGGAGTTCAGCTATTTTGTCAAAGTTGGACCAAGGTGCTAATGGGATCTCGAACTGAGGGGCCTTGTCAAACTGAGTGTCGATGAGCAGGTTATTTCTTTGCAATTGCTGCATAATAGCACTATCAACAACCTCTTGCGTTGCTTCGAATAAGGGTAGACTGAGGGGGTTGTAATTGGCATAGTTGTTTTTTCCTGTTGTTTTGTGTTTGGGACATAGCTGAGCAACTTTCCATATTGCCAGTATTGTATCTGTATTGGAGCATCTTGGGTAGAGACCTTGCTTGTTCTGGAATACCAATCTTCAGTGCTCATGATGGGAATGTTGTCAGAGCCATTTCTAGTGCCTTCATCTTTATCACGTGTAATGAATTGAGTAAGCTGAAGACTAAAATCTATGGTGCTGGACACTTCAGGTGGGCATTGAGATGGATCATCCATGTAGTACATCTGGCTGAAGTTAGATGAAAATGCTTCAGCCTTGTCTTTTGCACTGATGTTTTGGACTCCCCTATTATGTAAGATAGGGATGTTTGTAGTGCTCATCCTTCTACGAACGGTGTAATTGTACACCACTATTGTTGACTGTGGCAGTCCACATTAACTTATCAATAACTCACTGCAACACCCCGGAGCTGCACAAAAACAGAGAGGAACACCTATACAAAGTCTTTACAAACAGTGGGCACCCCAACAACTTCATCTGCCAATGCCTGGCAAATAAACAACACCAAGAAGACACTGTACGCCCCAACGCACTGGCCACTCTACCCTTTATTAGAAATACATCAGAACTGACAACAATAACAAACAAAAGAACTGCGGATGCTGTAAATCAGGAACAAAAACAAGTTGCTGGAAAAGCTCAGCAGGTCTGGCAGCATCAGTGAAGAAAAAAATCAGTTAACATTTCGGGTCCAGTGACCGACCCTCAGAGCTGACTACAAGACTCCTATGACCTCTTGGAATAATGATAGCACACAAACTTAACAGCCACACTCTGCTAGTTACGCTTAAAAGCGAAAGACCCCCATACCAACAATGAGCAGGACAAATGTGACATTATAAAATACCGTGCAGCAACTACAAGAAACACGACATAGGACAGACAGGCAGGAAATTCGCCACCAGAGTACATAAACACCAACTCGCAGCAAAACAGCACAACCAACTTTCCGTCATTTCAATCTATTCCAACATAGAAGGACATCAGTTTAACTGGGACAAAGTTACAGTACTAGGACAAGCAAAACAAAGACAAGCACGAGAATTCCTGGTTTTCAACCACCGATGCGATAAAGAAGCATGTTGAGATAGACTCCATCTACATACCACTACAATACAAAACCGGAAACAAGACTGCCCACCATGACAAACTGGACCATATAAATTCCGAGCGGGACAGTACAAGAGCGCTTCAGCGGAGGCTAGGCAGCACTGACAATGTCAGCCAGAAGGGAATCAAAACATTTGCATGAAAAGCAGTCAGCTTGGCAAACCAACCAATAACTCCAGGTTTGACAATATTGCCCATCAACAGATCATCTGTAATAAAGAAAGCTTCAAATCGAACTCATTCGTCCTCCAGTATTTAGCTTTGGTTCCCATCTTCCATCATATAAGAGAGTGCACCATTTGGTGCAGAAATTGGTCATTTGGAAGCGTTTAACACCAGAGATGATTTGGCAAAAGGGATGCTTTCAGTGCCACATTCGTGACTTCTCTTTTTTAAAGACTCAAACTGTACATTGGTTATTAACACAAAATGAACCTATAATCACTGCACCATGTTGTAGTTTTACAGGTCCTAAAGACGACACATCTGACATTGGAAAACTCGGTTTTTATTTTGTACATATTACATGGAGTAACAACATCTTGTTTCGCCAGTATTTCCTGGAAGATAATGTACTAGGTATTTTCAGCTTGCTTGATGTGCATCTTGTACAAGTCCACCAGACAATTCTGCGTTTCATGGCTACCTATTTCATTTCCCTCTTCAAACTAAGAAATCTATTTTAAATCATTTTGATAAGCAAATCAGCAGATGGCCATTAACTTAAACAGCATGCACTTCCTCTCCGCTCCAACAGTTGTTAAGCACAGTGACAGCTTTCTAAATGTTAATTGAAACTGGGGCCATGCACCAATGTCTTAAGTTAAACCTGCTTTGGCTGTTATGATTTAACTTACAGTTCATTCCAACACTGAAAATATTGGATTAGTGTTCAAACTAAAGCTGTACCAGCCTTCTCATTTTAAAATTTGCTAATTAATTCAGTTTCCTTCCAGCCCCAGGATTCCTTCAAGTAGATTCTCTACTCGTGTCTGTTCTTGTGTAACCTTGCTTTTTAAATACAAAAACAGCTCTGGTGACTATAATCTTTCCAAGATTGTCATTTGCTTTTAATTTGATTTTTAAACTGACATAATATTTTTTCTCCCCCCGCAGCTATCTTCCAGATTATTCAGAGTATCCGGATGGGCATGTGAAATGGATAAAATTCAAATCTCTACCTTTTTAAGTGTCTTGCTGTTAATTCCAGCTGTGAGTCTGACCATTCCAACACTTCCTTTGTCTTACAAACGATGGATTTTACAGAATTGATCTTTCTGTCATTGCTTTTGAAGAAACTTTTAATTCCATGGTGTTGCTAAAAGTCTAGTTCATTCCTTCGTGTGACCCAAGAAGGCAAGGATATAGTAAAAGCCATCCAACAGTTTAATTTTGTATTTTAATCAGGGAAATAGTTTGTAAGATCATATTTAATGTGAATACTTTATCATTATATATAGTTGGTATGTAGGTAAGAACTTTTTTGGTGTACTCAAATTTTTCCCCATTCTTTCATGATCCTTAAATTGTAGAGAACGTGGTTCTGCTCCCTGTCCAATTTGAGATCCAAAATGTGCATCTTTCTAAATCAAATTTATAATTCTGGAAAAGTGCCTTCTTTTGTATATTAAAGTGTACAACCATTTTAGGGCTTTGGTCTGAATGCTTCTCTGATCTTAGAACGTGAATTGATTTTCGTGTTTGTTTTTCTGTTGAAATAAGGGTGATCTACTGTCATGTCTTAAAATATTTGTCTGATTGATCCAAGAACTAGCTGAATTTGGGAGGGAGAAGAGAATGGTTTGAGGGGGGGTGGTGGTTTCTGTTTTAAGTGACCCAAGGCAGCCATCTGTATGTTTAAGAGCCTAAAACTGTCCCATTCTCTTGGGTGAGAGCAGCCAGTTCCAAGTTATGTCCACAGGCAGTTTCTTCTCTTGGTAAATGAAACAAGCTAAATGTAAGAAGCTTCTCCATTGCCTACACTGTATGGTCTGATAATGTTGTAAATCGCGGCATGCTGATAACTCCACATTTTGTGATTGCTTGATTGCTGCTTTGTCTCATCAGGTCCAATCGACTGTGTTTGACTGTAAGCAGCTGCAGCATTTGTCGCCGAAATAAATATATTTTTGCTTGAAATTGCTGATGTACTCTGTTAATTCTCATGGTCTCCAGTATAAATTACTTTTTGACTCAGTTAACGGGAGCAAACAATGGTTGATCTTGAGGAACCAGATATGGGTGCTGCTCTAGTTGATATTCCATTGGGAGTTGAGGCCAGGTGTAATCTTCTGGTACAGACCAGATCAGACTGATGTAGTTCAATCCTCCCTTTATATCATAAGACCATAGATTATATATTCAGTCCTTATTTATTTGTTTTCATTATTAAAATATGGATATAAGAATGTTTATGCCTACATGTGGCTCTAAATGCACAGCAATTTGGTTGACTCTTTATTGTCTTCTGGGCACCTAGGAATGATCAGTAAATGTTAGACTAGCCAGTGGTACCCACATCCCTTGAATGAATGATTTTTTTTTTTTTTAAATGCCTTGAGCAGAAGCCTCAGCAAGGATTAGTCGGGTTGAATGAACTCTTTGTGTGCCATATATCCTATGTCAGTTGCATATGTAAACATGTCATGCTGTAATTGCATTCTTCAACCAGTGGAGGTGTTGCAGCTATAAATCATAATGCACTGATACATCCCTGTTATGCCTGATTGGTTGAGGTGTGCGGTCTGTGAAGCCAATCAGGCATAACAGATAGGGATTCTTCCAATAAGTAGTGTTGTGTTTCTTGTTTGCTACCAGTTAAGCCTACCAGTGTGTCATGAAGACAGCAGGTAGCTGATTTTTGAATGGAGGGGAACTAATGAGTGGCCAGTCTTTCGAAAGTCAGCACCCATCTTGTTGACTCAACTTGACTATATAACTAACAAATGAAAATTCTTGTCTTCCTAAAAGGTTATATTTGCCAATAAAATTGCCTCTGTGTTTTTAAAATCTCTCCAATAATACTTCCCTCTTGGTTCTAGTTTATAGACTTTGAATTGCACCAGGTGGTAGTTTGAACGAAGGGACTCGGGAGAAAGACATTTCTCCGAACGTACCAGATTACCTGCAAATATTCTGGCCTGCAACTCCCAGACACAAGTTCAGACCTCTAATGTGAGTAGTTTTCACCTGGCTTTGGAGAGAGTAATAGTTAATCAGAGAGGCTTATGAGGAAAATAGTATTCTCTGTCATCCAAACCTGTCCTTGACTGAGCACTGTTTTATAAAGGTTGCACTGTCATCCCTTAAACATGAAGTAGTCACTCATCCTTCTGTGGGACATGTTATATTTTGCTGGATTAAGATAATTTGTATTAATTTTGACTTTCTTGTATATGGCAATCCAGTTGCTTAATTGTTCAACCAAACTGAACCAAGGTTTATGTAATGGCACCAGAAAATATGTTGGAAGCCTATTCCAATATGGTTTTCGGAAGAGAATCACTTGAAGAGAAAATTGGGAGGCCTGACAGGAAAGGGTTGGAGTCATACTTGGCACAAAGAAAGGTAGTTGTGGTCCTAAATGGGAAAAAAAACGAAATAACTACAAATGCTGGAAATCTGGAACAAAAACAAATTGCTGGAAAAGCTCAGCAGGTCCGGCTGCATCTGTGAAAAGAAATCGGTTAACATTTTGGGTCCGGAGACCCTTCTACAGGAGAGTAGTCCTATTGCTTAGTAGAATAAAACATGGCAACTGGCAGTGGAATTGTTAGAACTGTCTGTTTTCTGATTGTTTCCTTTATGCAGATTGATTCCTACATCTCAAAATGCATACCCAAAAAATGAATTCATCAAAACATAAAGCGGGAACAAGCCATTCAAGAAAGTCCTGGCCGAGCTGATCACAGCCATTACTCCAACATTGACTGCCCCACCTCCTCTATACCCTATTAACTCTGTGTATTGATACCATAAAGCAAGTACAAAGTTAACTATTTCTTTTGCAGATCAGCTTTAGGAAGGATGTACAAACTTTGGAGACAGTGCTGCAAAGATTTACTAGAATGGTACAAAATAAGACATGTTTTATTGCCACTGGATGTCTCCATGCACTTTCACAGAGGTGTTTGAAGTGTGTTCCCTGTTACTGTCAGGAAATAACAGCCAGATGTACACAGTTAGATCCCACAAACAACAATATAATGATCATCAATTCCATGATGTTGATTTAAAGGATAAATATTGGCCAGGACACTGGGAATGACTTTAATTCTTTCAGATATGGCAATGAACTGTTTTACATCTACTCCAACAGGCAGGTATGATCTCAGTTTAAAATCTCAGCGGAAAAACTGCACATTTGACAGCACTATCTTTCCTCAGTTCAGCACTGGAGTGTTGGCTTTTAATTGGATGTGACTGGTAGATTGAGTGATTGGAGAAATTGAGATTATTCGAATTGCAGAGAAGGTGAAGACAATATTTGATATGAATGTTCAAAATTAAGGAGCCTTGATCAAATCAGTTGAAACCTTTTTACCGTTAGCGAACAGCTGACAAATTAGTAGCTTGAGAAAGCAGATTTTTAAGCTTGTTCTAATCTAGTTTCATTCCTGAATGAATCATTTCCACTATCCTATCATAACTTGCAGAAGGTTGTGAATATATTGAGCCAAGAGTACTCTGCTTTCCTGTCAGCTTGCCCTACTCCTCAATTCTTCAGTGGCAGGATATGCCGAAGTGGAAGTCAGGATCTTGAGCAAGTTCATGAGCTGAATGTTTGTTTGGGGTCATGACCTCCAAGACAGCGATGGCTTCTGTGGAGCTCCATCCAAGTTTAAAAACAAATGGGTCCTGCACGCACAGACATCATCGCCCTTTCATGTCCTTGAAATTCACCTCTTTTCACCTTCCCAACTCCTTCATGGTTCTTACTTGGACATCACAACCGTTTCCAAGCTACAAAACAGGCATCTTAAGTGGGAGAAAATGTTTGTCCAATTGTTCAAGAATCTGTGTAGCTCTGCCTTCAATATATTCAATGACTTGGCCTCCACAGCTCTGGGGCCAGAGAGTTCCAAAGGTTCAACAAGATTTGCTGAGAAATTTTTACCTTGATCTTAAAATACGTGACTCCTTTACTCTAGATTTCCCGCACAAATGGAAAATTACTTATGGAAGGGGGATTTTTCTTTCAGGAAAAAGACGCTTTAAGCGTTTTTTAGGTAAGCTCATTGAGGCCTTTTTATTTGCAAGGGCTGAAGAGGTAAGTGTTGTGGGGCCATGTGTCGACCGACACACAAGCTTTGGGACTTCGTCACTTTCGTTCTCAAGTAGATAATGCTGACTGATTTTGATGTCTTGGTTTCCTCTCTCCCAAAAAAGGTAATGGAACTTTAAATAAAATCCTTTTCAAGCCTCACATCCAATCAGTCGAGCAACATAAGCCTCCAGTAAGGAAACATGAACTCCACTTGGAGATTTTTGGACTGTAAGTGCTGACTGTGCAGGCTAGTCTGCAACCTATACACTTCCTTATAAGATTGGTAGCTACCAGTGTAACAATGCCTCAAAACATTGCATTTTAGAAAATCATCATTGATGTTTGAGGTTAGCTGTCTCATTTTTATATGTACAGTGAGACTGTGTATCTATTCTGCCATTTGGTGGTAGTGACTGGTACTGCAACAGGAAGAGGCTGGGTTCTCAATTTCTCACTGATCTTAAAAATTACATTTCAGGGGGCTAACAGGCAGTTAATATCAGCTGTTCGTGGTTTGTATGCATATTTCTTTCATGGTCTCCAAAGAATCTGATAAAGCATGAAGCTAAAATAAAGAAAACCTCATGATTATTAGTTTTGATTGCTTGTAACTCCGAAATGTTATGTTTGATCACTTTTTGTGGAAAGCCTGCCAAAGTTTAATGAACGTTTAGGACATTGAGTAACTGGAAGGAAAAAAATCTTCCCACTGATAAGAGGGTCAGTCATAAAGGACGAGGATATATTTTTGTTAGACAAGGGAATAAAAGTTTCAAGGTTAATGAGAATATGGAATTCAAAACAAGCCAATCTGCTGTGATTTTATTGAATAGTGGAACAGACTCAAGGGGCTGAATGTGAAATAGAAGCAGCTGACCAAAGTGTAGCCCTCCCACTGGGTCCAACCCATCTGTCACACTTTGGTCCTCAACACCTCTGCTCCCTCCCGCAACAGCGATAGGGTTCCCCTTGTCTTTACCTACCATCCCACCAGCATCCATATCCAGAAGAACATCAGACGCCATTTCTGCCACCTCCACTGAGATGCCACCACCAGACACACATTCCCCTCCCTTGTCCGCCTTCTGCAGGGACCGTTCCTTCTGGGACACCCTGGTCCACACTTCCTGCAACACCTCATTTATCTCCTCCCTCCCCAGTATCCAAGGGCCCAAATAAACCTTCCTGGTGAAGCAGCACTTTATCTACACTTCCCAGAATCTAGTCTACTGCATTCACTGCTCACAATGTGGTCTCTACATTGGGCAAACGAAGTGTAGACTGGGTGACCGCTTTGCAGAGCATCTGCATTCTGCTCACAAAAAAGACCCTGAGCTAACTCTTGCCTGTCACTTCAGCACACCACCCTGTTCCCTGGCCAACATCTTTCTCAGGCTTGCTGCGGTGTTCCAGCGAAGCTCAACGCAAGTTGGAAGAACAACACCTCATTTTCCGCTTGGGGACCCTGCAGCCCTCTGGACCCAATATAAAGTTCAATAATTTTAGGGCCTAAATTCCCCCATGTCCCAGCTCCTCACCCCACACACCAGGCCTTATCACAGCCTTCCATTACACATCACCTGTTGTTAGTCACTAATAGTCCCCATTAACAACTATTTACCCTCCCAGCCTGATCGTTATCAACTCCTTTATCCAACTGTCCTTCTCTTTCTTAAGGCTCTATCCTATCGTTTACTCCTTATTTTCTGCATATAAATTGACGTTTTGCTAGCCACCATCAGTTCTGAGGAAGGGTCACCGGACCCAAAACTTTAACTCTTGTCTTTTTCTTCACAGATGCTGCCAGACCTGCTGAGCTTTTCCAGCAACTTTGTTTTTGTTCAATAAATGTGGAGTTCGACAAACCCAGTTGGTCAGACAGCATCCGAGGAGCATGAAAATCAATGTTTCAGGCAGAAACCCTTTCTTAGGACTGCCTGACTGCATTTGGAAGTGGACTGCCTCACTGTTTGAGCGTCAATGATGCTACACTGCAGTCATCAACGGATATCCTATATCTGATAACATCGGTGAAAAAAAGCAGCTTAACATGGTTAGACCTAGGATACTACCTGAAGAACTCCTGTAGTGAAGTTCCGGTGCTGAGGTAATTGACCACCAACAACTACAAGATCATCTTTTGTGGTTGATATGACTCCAATCAGTAGAGGATTTTGCTCCTAATATCCATTGATTCCAATTTTGCTGGGGCTCCTTTATGCTGTCATTGGTGAAATGCTGCCTTGAATTCAAGGGTTGTCACTCTCGCCTGACCTCTGGCATTCAGCTGTTTGTCCACATGTGAATGACAGCTGTAATGAGTTTAGAAGCTGAATGGCCATCGTGGAAAGAAAAATAAGTTGCAGTGAACGGGTTATTCCTTTGTAAATGCCACCAGATAATCTGCTTGACAGTTCTTTCCATCATTTGGCTGATAATTGAGAGTTGACCAATGGGGACGCTAATTGGTTGCATTAGATTTTTGCTGCCCTTTGTGCACTTGGGCCATTCTCCACATTGTCAGATAGATGCCAGTGTTGTAGCTGCACTGGAACAGTTTTGCAAAAGGTATAGCTGTTTCTGGAGCACAAGTCTTCAGGACAGTCACCAGAGTACTGTCAGGCTTCATATCCTTTACTGTGTCTGTTGCCTCAGCGCTTTCCTGCTCCTGTAGAGTGAATCAAATTGGTTGAAGACTGGTATCTATGATGCTGAGGACCGTAGGAAGAGGCCAAGATAGATCATCCCCTTAGCACTACAGGCTGGAGATTGCAAATGTTTCAACTTTTATCTTTTGCAGTGGAGGTGGATGGGGATATTTGTCCTAAGCCCCCTCCTCCAGTGAATTGTTTAATTATCCAGCACTGGTCGATGCTGTCATGGTCACTAAATCCCCAACTATCAATATCCTGGAGGTTGCTATTAATCAGAACTTGAACTGGACTCGTCATATAAGTGCTGTGGCTACAAACTCAGGTCAGAGGCTGGGAATCCTGCAGTGAGTAATTCACCTCCTGATTCTCCAAAGTTTGTCCACCGTCTACAAAGCGTAAGTCAGGAGTGTGATGAAAAAGACCTTGTCTATTTGCCCTGTCATGCTTTTATCAACCTCTATAAGATCATCCCTCAGCTTCCAATGCTCCAGGGAAAATAGCCGCAGTCTGTTCAGACTCTCCCTATAGTTCAATACCTTCTAACCTGGCCAACAACCTTAAATCTTTTCTGAACCCTTTCAAGTTTAGCAACATCCTCCCTGTACCAGGGAGACCAGAATCGCACACAGTATTCTAACAGTGGCCTAACCAATGTCCTGTACAGCCGCAACATGACCTCCTAACTCCTACACTCAATGCACTGACCAATAAAGGCGAGCATACCAAATTCCGCCTTCACTATCCTGTCTATCTACAACTCTACTTTCAAGGAACTATGAACCTGCACTCCAAGGCATCTTTGTTCAACAGCACTCCTCAGGACCTTACCATTAAGTGTATAAGTCTGCACTGATTTGCTTTTTCAAAATGCAGCACCTCATATTTATCTAAATTAAACTCCCATCTGCCACTCCTCGGCCCACTGGCCCGTCTGATCAAGATCCCGTTGTACTCTGAAGTAAGCTTCTTTGCTGTCCACTACACCTCCAATTTTGGTGTCGTCTGCAAACTTACTGGAATGTGTTTCAGTGGAGGAGCGTTTTGATAATGGTCCGTAAAGCGGTGTGGTCAATGTGAGTGTAGATTTCATCTGAGTGAGGCAAAGGCTGAGTGGGTAGACCAGAGGACATAGGAGCAGAAGTCGGCCATTCAGCCCATTGAGTCTGCTCCACCTGAGATTATGGCTGATCTGATAATCCTCAAATCCACGTGCCTGTCTTTTTCTCCATAATCTTTGATTTCCTTACTGATTAAATATTTATCTATTTCTGCCTTGAATATATTTAATGATCCAGCCTCAACAGCCCTCGGTGGTAAAGAATTCCAGATTGAAAACCTTTTGAGGGAAGAGATTTGTCTTCATCTCTGTCTTAATTCTATGACCCCTTATTCTGAGATTGTGCTATCTGGTCCTAGACTCTCCTATGATGGGAAACATTTCACATCTACCCTGTCAAATCCCCTAAGAATCTTGTATGTTTCAGTAAGGTCACCTCTTATTTTTCTATATTACAATGCGTACAGGCCCAGCCTACTCAACGTCTCCTCATAAGCCAGTACCTTCATGCCTAATATTAGCCTAGTGAACCTTCCTGCACTGCTTCCAATGCCGTCATATCTTTCTTTAGATACGTGGCCCAAAACTGTTCACAGTATTCCACTGTAGTCTGACTAGTGTCTTGTGGAGTTTGGTTCAAGTTTGGAGTTTGGGGCAGAGGGGGACCTGAGATGCTTTAACTAAAGTATGCTGCAAGACATAAAGTCTTCAGTTCAAGAGGTGAGTGGGAAAGGATAGAAAGCATGGATGGAGAGACCAGCCTGCTGTGAGACCAGTGATGGAGAGATGTCACAAACCAAATGTGATGCAAGAACATGGAAAGCAGCTGATTGGTGAATAGTCTTTAAAAAATTACAGTAAGTTGTAACGAGTAGGGAATTTTCATAAGTAATAAATAAGTTGAATATGATCAAGTCAAGCCACCATTGTCTTAACAGACCATAGGGCTGCTGTCTAATTAGAGAGAGAGAGACAACTTCTGATTGCTTACCCTGAAGGTCACCAAGGCTCAGGTGAGGTGAGAGGTTGAGAAAGAGAGCCCTTCATGGTACCCCAGCCAGTGATGGGAATTGAACCCATGCTGTTGGCATCACAGTGCTTTGCAAATCAACCGTCCAGCCAACTAAGTTAAAAGTTGGGCTGAAGGGCCTGGTTCCATGCTGTGGACCTCTATAACTTTAAGAGGGTGAGAATGCAGGTATGAGGGCCCAGGGATTGTGTTCGAGGAGGTTCAGCAATTATTCATCTTGCAAGCTGTGCAGATGAGAGTGAGGACTGCAAGGAGAATGAATGAGGGAGCCCATGCAAGTGGAGGAAGAAATAGGAATGTGGTAGCGAAAGGGGACAGGATTCTGGAGTGACATTCAAACTGCATGCATCCAGGCAAGTGGTTCTCCCCCATGCTCCTGACTTCTGCCTTGTAGAAGATGGACAGGCTTTGGGGTCCACGTCCATAGATCCATCAAAGTTGCCACCCAAGTTGATAGGGTTGTAAAGAAGACCTATGGTGTGTTGGCTTTCATTGGCAGGGGGATTGGGTTTAAGGTCACGAGGTTATGCTGCAGCTCTATAAAACCCTGGTTAGACCACACTTGGAATATTGTGTTCAGTTCTGGTCTCCATTATAGGAAGGATATGGAAGCTTTAGACAGGCTGCAGAGGAGATTTACCAGGATTCTGCCTGGACGGGAGGGCGGGTCTTATGAGGAAAGGTTGAAGGAGCTAGGTCTTCTCTCATTGGAGCAAAGAAGGATGAGAGGTGGCTTGATAGAGGTGTACAAGATGATGAGAGGCATAGATAAAGTGGATAGCCAGAAACTTCTTCCCAGGGCAGAAATGACTATCACAAAGGGGCATAATTTTAATGTGATTGGACGAAGGTA